TTAAAATATGAGAAAAATGAATTTCAACTGTTTATTTATTTAATTAACTAAATCCACGAAGAAATAATTCCGGTAGTTCTTCAAGTCACCTATCTGATTTCACGCAAATTATTTGCCTTGAAGTGTCATCGATATTCCATATTTCCGGCGCGTCTTTCGAGCGAGAACGATATTCATGGACGAAGGTAGTTCACAAGAGAGTTGGTCGATCGGCAAGAATTAAAATATCGAGCGTTTCGAATAGAGAAGTACTCGGCAGCAACGAGAGAGGAACGAAGGAACGTAGAGCAACGAAGATGAATACACTAACAACGAGGATAGAAGAATTGAGTAGTCCTCGTCCCTGTTTAAAATATACCGAATTTTCTTTCTGCGTTCGAAAAAAAATTTCTATTTTTATTTTGGGATTTCAATAATTTAAACTATTTCAATTAATTCTCTGCATATTATTGAACATCAATTTATCGATGATTTTTTTGTATAATCCATTGTTTTGAACTATTCGATTATAACAATGAAAACTTAATGTATTGTAATTTAATATATTAATTGTACTATAATATTTCAATTAGATAATTCAAAATATAGATTGCAAATTTAATTTTTATTTATTCCATAAATTCCATTCCATAAATTTTAATTTCAACCGATCAATCTATTTTAATTTAAACTTTTTACAGTTACTCGTTGTGCTTAATATTTGAAAGTCACTTAAAAGCTATTTTCAAAATTCTTATTCATTATTTATATTATTCAATCTATTTTGTTTGAAAAATTGAAGTTTATTTTTTTAGTCATTATTTATTGTTAAATATCTTCATAGATAATATAATATAATATATCAGGTAGAAAAATTTTTGTGGCATTCGAAAAACATTTATAAAAACATGGTTAAAAAAGTTGCGTGAAATGAGTACGATCGCATTATAGTATGATTTGTACACGTGCATAAAAGGGAAGGGCGAATATATGTGTATCGGGAGGAGTGGAAAAACGCGAATCAGGACTCGTTCATAGCGAAGAACTGTTGGGAGCGTTGTACTTCGGCTGTTTTATAATTGAACAAACTATCAAAGTTTCTGAGATTGTTCTAGCTAAAAGGAGAAAAAGATCTTTATTTCTCAGCTTTAGAACCGATTATCTCTATTGGTATATTAATAGTTGATTAATAATTTGTTTATTTTCATTGCAAAATCCTTTGGTTTTTAACAAATTTCTTTTACATGAATAATTATATTCTCTCAAAAGAAAATAAAACATATGATAACACGTAACAATAAAATTGATTACTATTTCATTGTATTCAAAAATTTGAAAAAAAACAAGAATTTCCATGAAGTTTGATTTTTATGTTTAGCTATACTTAGCTGTTAACCAATAAAAATTGCAGTGTACGAAAGATGACCGAGGAGTGAAGAAGGTCTATAGTAATGGCAGAACAACACTAATGGTCGAAAGAGAGAAAGAGCAATGGTTATACATGATAGAAAAGGATGGAAAGCATCGATGGGGCGGAGTAGGGGACAGGTGTCGAAGTGGAAGGGAGGAAACCGCATGAAGGGGAAAACGACTCGACTCGGAACTCATGTCGTAGCGGTACTCGTTTTCTCTTCGGCACCGCATATCTCGTTGCCACGAAATTGAATAACCACATAACCAATGCACGAAGTTGCACTTGCTCAAGCTCGAATTTCTTGATCTCGAATTAAACACAATTTCAAAGAAGATGATTTTTTGAAAAATTCGAAAATCTATATAGTTATCTATATCGAGTATTTGCATAGTTTTTTAAATTTGATTTATTTTGTTTCGTTAGAATTTGACAAATTTTTCAAATGCAATAAAATTTTGATAATTTTAAAAAGTATATTTGTCAATATATATTTTTTTTTAGATATTTTCTTTTTCTTTTTATTAAAAGAAGACTCTAATTCGCATCACAATTATGTTATACACCTTCTTCAATACTGTTATCTGTCATTATTCGTATACGAAACCAAGGAAAAAGGCTTTCCCACTCAACCGGCTAGGCTGACTGGTTCGGTGCTTAGTCACGTGTTGCGCGATACGAATGCGCACCAGTCAAAACGTCGTTGACCGTTCAATGTAACAGATCGAATCTATCCTCTTGACATATAGATATTTCTTTGTATTATCATTATATTTTTATATTATCCATGATCTTCTTATACTGCAATAAGACAGAATTATAAATATAACTATGTAATAATATAATAAAAGATGATGACTACATCATACAATGAAATATCAAGATTAAATTTATCCAATATATCGATGTTTTAACTTATTATCAATTATGTTCAGTATGTATATATATGATATGTATTTTATCAATATACTTTTGCATTCAAATAAAATAAATAATAATAGTATATGATTTTATATCATCAAGAAAAGATTCTAAGATTATTTTTTTTTAGAAATTTATTAGTTTGATACAAATACATAGATTTAGTATCATATTTTGTACCATATTGTCATTTTATGTCATATCCTTCTTATTTTTCCTCTTTCCTTTAACCAATTTTTTTCATAAAATAATTTTCATTCGAACGGAATAAAGTATTATGATATAACTTGAAACAAGAAATATAATATATATATATATATTAAAATTGTTTCACTTGAAAGATATTAAGGATTAAATCTTGAGAATATGGATTTTTAAAATGGATTTTTAAAATAATTTACATTGTCAAAAAAATCTCTACTTAAATGCTGTTATGATATATAATCATGATTTATAGTTAATAGAAATTTTCAAATGATTATTAAATGATTTATAATGATAATTAAAGTAATCTAAAAACGTCATACTTCTTATGTCGCAAAAATACAAAATCTATTCACAGATTTTAATTTGAATATCGATTAATAATCATAGAGTAATTCGATATGTTCTGCTCGTTGTTCCATAATAATTGTTTCTGTACAGTAACGCGTGTTGCATATTGTCTATAATCGTGTACAATTTGCATATGAGTGGGCGAAGGCATATAACCAGAAAATTGTAATTCGGTAAATAACGAGTTTGTAAAACATCTTGTCTTCGTTAGTCCATTACGTAATTAATAATCGATAATCTCCTTAGTTGCATATCATCTATTTCTACACGTGTGCTTTTTTTCACTTAATCTATATAAAATGTTCGAAACGATATGATAGCGATAATATTCATTTTCTTAATTCGTTTTTTCTTAATTCCTTTTCATCTAATTTTCCAATGAAAAAGTTTCACAAAAGAATTTTTTGAAAAATGTAAAACCGAAAATAAACTCGAAACGATCAATTTTTTAGTGAAAGTAAGAGATGTCTTATTTTCTCGAATAAAAAAAAATAAAAAAAAATAAAAATAAGAAAAAAAGAAATCCTACAGGAGTCATCTTTTCTTCGTTGCTTTTACGTAACGGCCTCTTTAAAACCTGGCAAGAAAACACACACGGGGCATCTCCGACTCGCCGCAAAAGTGCTCTTAACCCTCTCGTTCTTTCCCCCTCTCCTCTTGCTGTTCTCTATCACCCCTCCTTTGCTGTTCTGTAGATGGTACCGGTTGATGGCAGTCGCCAAGTTCTTGCTGGATACTCTCATTAGATTACATCAAAGCCGAGAAAAGCGGGAAGATCTAAGTTCCATTATATTCGAATGTGTATATACGTATATAGTGTAACTACAAAAAAAGAAAATAATAAAATAAAATACAGATTTCTGATTATTAAAAATTGTTTACTTTTACTTGATAAAAGGAAAGGAATAGTTAATGACAGAAAATACAAAATAGATTCGAAACATTCATTGTTATATTTTCGCTTTGATCATAGATTAAATGTATAATATGCTTAATTTTATTATATTAAATCCTATCAATTTCATGAATTTTTTTTTATAAATAAAATAAAATGATTTTTCAAATAATAATATTTACTTACTATTTTAATATTGTTAAAAAAAAAAAAATGTAATATCGTTAGATGTATCGAAAGTCGGATTATTGAACCGGGCAATGAATGAATATGCATAAATCGAATTAACCGCATAATTGGAGAAACGGAAGCAAGAATTCGCTGTTAAAAACTGATTTAACTATGGGGTAAGCTTCGGCGAAACGATGTTCCCAAACAAAAGGCTAAAGGACAGGTTTAACATTTTGATACGTGAATAGAAAATTTTTTCCTGTTTGTATACGATACTACGATGGATGGCTGTATGTATGCGCGCACACTACAATATTTCACGTGGACGTTCGCACAAAAGCGCACGGCGCATTATCATATCGCATTACGGTACTTACACGCGCATACATCTACTAAATTCCTCGTATGCCATCGGTATAATGTACTCTTCCTATCTACCATTAAATCAAACGCAAAGCACCTAACCAGTCGGACAGTTCATTTGGTTCACTGGTTCTGCCCGCGTGCTCATATTCACCGTGGAAATCATTGTTTTCTTTCCGAATATTTTGACGAAAATAATAAGGATAATAATTTTTCAATCATAAATAATTTCAAGAAATTAAATTCTTGAATTGTTGCGATTAATTCTTGTGATTAAATATATTACGATTTATTCCCTCCATATGGTATTATAATGTGAAAATTCATTGATTCGAGATACATGTGTATATAAAAAAATCATTGAACGTGAATCATTTAAAATTCCCCTCTCGTTTATTTAATCAAACCTATACTTCATATCTCTTCAATAATTATCAAAAGCGATAAATCTTTTATGAGAAAAAAATAGTATTTATTCCAGCATATATAGGTGTTCAGTGACAAAGTTCATCGTAGGACAAATATTGCAATGTGTATGTGCATATATAACTTGTATACCGAAGGATGTGTACGAGTTTAAGCAGAAGATACAAAGGGGACCAGAACGGCGAGGAGACGAGAAATCGTAGAGGATGGGCGAGTGGTCGAGAGGACAGAGGGGTGACGATGAGAGTGAGTAAGCTTGGTGGGGGAAAAAGGACTCGGAACTCGTGTCGTAGCGGTACGACGTTCGGTCGGGTATCTCCGCATCGCGAGCCACACGCTCGGCCGGTGTCGGCTCGCATACGCGCTCAGTCGTGCACTGGCCTCGCTTGCGAATGAATGTTGAGCGAGAGCTATTCGATACGTACAACACGAAATACGTTCACAGTGTTTTCTTCTTCTTTCATGCATACGTATGTGTGTAAGTGTGTGTATACAACCGGCAAGAGATATACATATACATTTATATACGTGTATTGTATATAATACACGCAACTTTCCTTCCTATTTCGTCCGTCAATCGTCTCACGTAGAAAGAGTTAATGTGTCGTATACGAATATACCAAGTGCAATCAGTAGTGATCTATCGAAACGTTATGTTATGACTGATATCTATATATATACATATACATATATACTAATAGTGTAGTGACAGCAGTGACGAAGGGACGCCAAATCTAACGTGCTCCGATTAACTTCGTTCCGTTAGTCAGCCGAGTGTGTGGTAAAGTTGAGAGTGCCTGCGAGAGTAGGAAGGAAGAACAAAGAAGCGAGTCCTTTGCCAGTCGGTGGAAGTGAGTGAGGTTTGCGAAGACTGTCTCCTCTTGAAGTCTCTCTTCTCTGTCTCTTCACTCTTTTCTTTGTGGATCTCAGTGTTCTCTTCAGCTCTTTCTCTCGCTTTCTTCATCTCTACCATCGACATCGTGTGAACAGCAACGACAAGTTGGTTTCGTCTCGAGGTAAAGTGATTTTATATGACGTCACGAAAGCGATGTCAAGTTGAGCAACCTCCATCTACGCACGTCACCTATTTGTTCACGTACTCTTTATCCCCACCTTCACCCCTCTACGAGACTTATTTTTTTCCTCCCTTGTCGCGTCGAATATAGCGCGTGACGATCTTGTGATGAATAAGTACCGATATTATGCGCTTATGCTTATGACACAGCATCTATTATCAATGGCTAACGTAATCCGAAGATAAATGTTGGCACCTTGAATTTTTTTTGTGTGGGTATTACTCTTGAGGATTAATGAACTCTTTTCTTTCTTTTTTGATTTTTCAATCAAGGAATAAAATTTGAAAATAGAATGATATATTTTGTTTGTAATATTACGATATTACTGAAACAAAATAACGAGAACGATGCGGGCTTAAGGTTAAAATTGTACAATAAAAATATTTTTTTCATAAATATATATCAATACGAAAAATCTACAATATATCAATTATTTTATCAAGACACATATTTTTGATCAATTATTTATATACTATATATAAAAATATTGAGTAAATTGTATGTATAAATAGTAATTCATTTTGTGAGTGAGATCAAGATATTATCCGATGTTTAATCTGTCTTCTATCTAGTATTGTAGCAACGGTTCGATATATTGTTACGGCATATCTAAATAGTCCATAGCCTTCGATTTATCACGTTCAGCGGCTGCTTAGGGAATGCCATTAAGTGGATTGCTTAGCCACTATCGATTTTGTATACTTTAGAGTCGTAACGTATGATGGAGCCAATCTGTGTATCTTATCCATTTTTTAACATACATTCATTTCCAACTAAAGCTAAAGATATTTATTAAATTAAATGAAAATTATTAATTCTAGAATGAATTTTATTCCAAATTCTTTTAATAATGTTTAATTCTAACGAGAATATACTTAAACGAATAATAAAAAAAATATATACAGAAATATAAAACAGAAAAATAAAAAAAAATAAAGAAATAAAAAATTTCTTTTATTTAATGAAAATAGACTATATGAAGAAATGAACAACGATTCAATGATATTTTTTCAAATCTTTTTCACATATTCATGCAAAATTAAACATTTAATTTGGAAAGTATTAATAGAATTAAAATAGATTAAAATTGCTTTTATGCGATTCTTCTCATATTACTGTGGTTTTAGTCTGACTTCGTTCTTTCTCTTTCCTTTAAACAACGTAACATATGCGCACAAATTTATGAACAGAAAACATATCGAGTTATTATCGCGAGAACCGCATTAACCTTCGATCGGTAACAGACTAACAGTATCATTTGAACTGTACAAATCTATTTTAGATTATAAAATTTTACTATATATAAATCAATTATATATTATTAATTCTATAAATAATAAAACAAAAAAATAAATGATAAAAACAATTTTATTTAAATATTTCTATTCTAATTTATCAATAATTGAATTTTATTTTATTTTTAATATCATTGGCCAATTATTACTGACTTTTCTCGCGAAAGCATATCAAAATCCTTAAGATCCCTTTATATCATATTCTTCTTACTGGTTCGCGCCTTGTCCTCTTACTTATATATGTATATTCAAGGACGATTCAGATATAACTGCCCACACGCTCTCTTTTAAAGAAAGAAAAAATTATACGATCAAAGAAATATAAAGTAATGTAATAAAAGATAGAATTTTTATAACAAATAAAATATATTAATATATATAAAATATGTAGATAATTTTTTTTTGTCATCAATTAAATACATCAATTAATTTTCGTTATTAATTAAATACAAAATTAAAAATAAATCAAATAATTTCTTTCTTTGCTTAATAGCAAATGATTGTTAAGAAAAATATTGAAAGAAATATTTAGAAAAATTTTTAGAAAAATAATAGAAAAATTTTACACAAACGTTAGTTTTAACCAAGAGATTAAAGTTACATTTGTAGCCTCCTGCCGCAGCTAATCTACATTATTCTACGTGTTATGTATCATCTGGTCGGTCATGCGTGTTCCCCCCCGACTTAAAATTCAACGACAGCATCGACGTAACTATTTACGACTCTACCAAGACGGTCCCTTGCGACATCCAATACTAACCTCAACATACATATCCTACCGTTTAGATAATGTATCGAACATTTACTGCATAGTCGAAGCATCATAATCACGGTGCCATAATATCTCTAAGATTCAATACTGCATATTATAAATATTTTCCATCTAAATATCTAAAATTGAACTATAGTCGAAATATTCAATTGACCCATACTATCCAGAATTCTTTTCTCACTTTAAAAGTGCTTTGTAGAGGGCGCGAAAATCGCCTATCGTAAGCCAATCATCGATTCAAAGAGTCGTCATATATTTAATCGCGATGTATGTATGATTGGTTAAGAACTAAAATACGAATTGTGACCAATAAGAAAATCTATATGTAAAAATCAGCTCTGGAACTTGCTAAATGCGTTGGATATTGGATGAAATGTATTACAGAGCGAAGCAGACGTTAAGTCCGCTTTAAAATTCTACGGCAAGAGGCTCGTAACTATTTACGTCCTGGTCGAAAGCATATAGTTACTTTCATAGGGCTATGCGACGCATCTGTTTGACTAGAAAACACATGCAAACCTCGTTTCTCTTTCTGTGTGCACATAGAAACGACGATCTAAACTCTAAACAAAGGTATTATCGCGCATATCAGATCTGCGTTGAATTACAAAGTGACTTATGAAAGGGCATCTAGTCATGTAAGTAACTTACAAAAGAACAATAATCGGATAATGCAATTAACGGTACGAAAAATTTCATTTCAACATCGGTTTATTATATCTTATATTTATTCACAGATAATAAATTTTTCATTGAATGGTATATTTTTGGTATATTAAAGAAAATATTTTTCAAAATTGATGAATATAAAATATGATTTATAATTGTATGAATTTTTTTTAACAATGTATTATTCATATATTAAATGCATGTAGATAAATATTTCCTATGCGATCATTATTAATATTCGCTCACGAATAGAAGTACTGGCAAACAGATCGTATTTCTTTTGATCATTCTAACCAGATATTTTGCATCGAACCGAGGATGTTCAATAACGATTGACGGTGCTTTACATTTATTTCGTGTATGATTAACGAGCACCATTATAATAGTTTTTTCAACCAAGTCTCGAGCACAACTCCTTTTATTTGCATACCAATATTCTCTTCAACAAATAGTTATCGATTCCTTCCGCGATCGAAACTTACGCATTATTACGTATTAACGTAGAGGGTGGTACAGTTATATCATAGATTGTAGGCGATAAGTGTGTTGTATAATCGTACAAAAATGTTCGTAATTTGGAGACATTTTATCGCTTTACAAAACAATAGATTAAATTATCGAATCGATAAAAAAACGAGAAACGAAAATATTATTTGCAGATATTTGATTTTTCCATCCGTGCTATCTTTCAATTTATTAATAGAAGAAAGCAAAAAAATTATCGAATTTAAAAAGATTATATTATAAATCTCTCGTCCAACGTGTTATTGAAGGAATAAAAATTGCCTCAAAGCATAAAAAAACCCATTGCGGCGTATTCTTTTGACTCTGGGATGCGAAGGAACGAAAACCCGTTAGAAATTGTTCGATGCTACTCTTGCATGTCGCGAACGGTCATACATGCCTGCCGTGACAGCTCTATGCGGTAGTGGTAGTAGTTATTCGTGAGCACACGCGTGTATGTGCAATGCGTGTGCACGAACGGCAAGCGTGCACGTCCGCCATAGGCCGTTTCTCGTCGTCGAGTTACAAAGGCTGAGTAGAGTAAGCGCGTCGAAAGAAGAACGGCGGCAGTGTGAAAGTAAAGAAAGTGGGCCGCTCCAAGTAGTGTTCAACCTAGTACTTACTTACCTACCTTCCTTTTTCTGCTGTCATGATACTTTTTTCTATCCAAGGATCAGTTAATCATTCAACAAATTATAAAAATTATGAATTACAAATTTCTTTAATACTGCTGTAATAACTGGAAGGATTATTTCGTTTCAAAGTTAACTCGATTTTAGTTGAATTAAGATTAATTTAGAGTTAAAACATATTTAACGATAATATTTTGAATATTTTTTTTTTTTTTTTTTTTTTTTT